TGATGAATAAATAAATCTTTTCTTGTCTGAGAATAAATATTTCTCTTGTCCATTATTGGTGGGTGTGTAATGTTTACTAGCACTGGAAACACCAGAAGCTAAGGGGTGTTTCATACTGAGAATATTTTGTCATTGTTCTTGGCTTCAGAAGCAAATTATTTATAATTTGTATTTCTGTATAGCAGACATTTCCATGTCTGTATTCTAGACATTTCTTCTAAAACAGAGCAGCCAAAAATCACCCTACTTCCCACATCTTTTTCATATTCAGGCTTGACGTTCTCACTTCCATTGCAGGAGCTCAGCTGCCTGTCTCACTTAAGATATATTCTTTTACAGTGAACTTTTCTGGGTAAGCATACACAAACTGGTAGTGAGTAGGTGGGTTGCTTTGACCTTTTTTTCCCTTGTAACATGATTTCCATTCCTTCCAGCAGAAAAGAGATTCACTGAATGAAAGTGATAAAGAAATTGCTGCAGTTCTTTAAGAGACTCCTGTTTTTTATTGAAGGTGTGGGGAAGGCAAAGGAAAGGAAGATAAACTAGTGCTCATTTGTGGTTTCCAGCAAGAACTAAGCATTTCCTATAGCACAGTGCCCACAAGCATCTTGGAGTCTGAGTCATGGGATAATTAGCATTCTACATCTCCCAGCTGGAGAAATTCATCCAGACATGATAACAGGGCAGTTCCAAGGAGAAGTAGCTGAGGTCTCCACAAGCACACAGAGAAAAAGGGATGCTATAACCTTGGACTATTTGTTTGGGAGAGGGGGAAGAAAAGAGCGCTACCTTTCTCTGAGAGAGAAGGAAACTGAAACTATTCTCCTGCATGGCCAAAGAAAGTTCTGTGTCCATAAGTGACCCTGTGAAAGCAAGGCATCACTCTGTATGTGCCATTTCACTGGGTGATCCCAGCACCTGGCCAGATTTCCCAAGTAGCTCCTATGCTCTGTTTCTTCTCCAGTTCAGCACAGGGGAAGCTTCCATCTCTATGACCAGGCTCCAGATTTGTCATTTTGGTCCCCAAGACTGACTGAGAGCAGAAATCATGGTTCAGGAATAGGAAAATAACAAAACCAACAACCCCCCCCAAAAAACCTAAAAGACCTTAATGAGTGTACATCTACAGATGTAGTTATGTGACCTGTTTATACACAAACACAGAGGGAGAAAAAAAAAAAAAAGACCACAAGGCATAAGAAAACCCTCTCTTGGGATTCATCTCCACTAGGATGAGCTTTCTGCTGTCAGAAACCAACATACACCTTACAAAATGTAAGCACTGGTTTAATGCAGCTGTACCCATTAGGGCTAAATTTCAGCCTTCTCTGTAGTTGCCTGAAGACAGTGTTATTTTGGATACAATCATGCGGTTTGCAGATATAATCCATGGCATACAGGAAACTTATTCTCCTTTTCACTGATACCTCACCCTGCGTGAAAGCACTCTAAATGCCATAGGGTCTTAATTTTGAATTTTGCCATATCACAGCTGTCTAGTTTTAGGTTGCTGCTGAATCCCCCTGAAAGTCAAAGGAATGTAGTGATCACCTTCAGAAGGAAAGTTGGTCCAGGTTTGTGTTGGGACACAATGCATCTCTCTTAATGTATCCTTATGCTAGTCACTATAAAAGCATCCAAGACAGCTTACTCCTCATTCAGTACAGGGACTTCTGCATTCAGCTCAGGTCACTTGATAAGGGATAATGTGGTTTCTGGGTAGGGTAAATAGTTAGGGAAGAGAAAAGAACCTACAGAGACAACACATCTGTAAATGCCATGAGAATAAATTCTGTTATCATGGCTTTGTTTTGCAAATGAAACAGTCTTTAATCATCTGCTTATTGTAAAGAAGACATTCAAAAAGGGAGAAAGCAATCCATAGCATTCTTCTCTACGTATGTGGTTTAAACCTGCTATGAGCACAGGTTTCTGTTGGGATAGGGTTGCATTACACTCTTTAAAGTCTATGAAAACCTGCATGGTATTTGTATTGAGTTTACATGGCAAGGGTTGAGGATGGGAGGGGCAGGGGAGCTGCAGAGATGTCCTCAGTTGGAAGAGACCAGAAGCTACTCCCATGTCAGACAAAGCCAAGGCTCCAAGACAGAACCACCGCTCCACAAAACAGAGTCGATGAGCGATGCTGGTGGCACCTCTGTGATAACATATTTAAACTGCATAGCAGCTGTGACAGAGGAGTGAGAAAATGTGAGAGAAACAGCCACTCAGACATCAAGGTCAGTGAGTAAAGGAAGCGGGAGAAGGTGCTCAAGGTAACCATGCAGAGCATACCCTGCAGCCCATGCAGAAGACCAGGTTCTACCCCTGCAGCCCATGGACCACATCAGAGAAGCTATCCACACCACAGCCCATTAAAGAGCCCATGCTGGAGCAGGTGGAGATGCCCTGAAGGAATGTGACCTATGGGGGCCATTGCTGGGGCAGTCTGTTCTTGATGGACTGTGTCCCATAGAAAGGACCCTTACTGGAGCAGTTCTTTAAGAACTGCAGCCCATGGGAAGGACCCAAATTTGAGAACTTCATGAAGGACTGCGTCCTGTGGGAAGGACCCCATGCTGGAGCAGTAGAAGAGCATGAGGAAGAAAAAGCACCAGACAAAACGTTATGAACTGACTGCAATCCCCATGTCCCATTCCCCATGGCTGCTCAGGGAGGGGATGAGGTAGAAGAGTCAGGGGTAAAGTCGAGCCTAGGAAGAAGAGAAGTGGTGGGAAGGTGGTTTTAGTTTTGTTTTTATGTCTGAGTCTCCTACTCTGTTATTGACTGGTAATAAATTAAATTCATTTTCCCAAGATGAATCTGTTTTGCCCACAATGGTGTCTGATGAGTGATCTCTCTGTCCTTATTTTAACCCCCGTCCTGCTGAGGAAGAGGAAGGATAGAGCAGCTTGGTGTACACCTGGCAGCCAACGCGAGGCCTGTTATTAACCAGCCAGTGAGTAGGCTGGGGGTGCACAACAAGTTGGGAGGGAACATAACTGGGACAGCTGGTCCCAACTGACCAAAGGGCTATTCCGTATCATATGACATCATGATCAGTCTATAAAGCTGGGGGAAGAAGATGTAAGGGGGGAACATTCAGAGTGATGGTGTTTGTCTTCCCAAGGAACCGTTATGTGTGATGGAGTCCTGCTTTCTTCAGGATAGCTGAACACATGCCTGCCAATGGCAAGTAGTGAATTCCTTGGTTTGCTTTGTTTGCATGCATGGCTTTTGCTTTACTTATTAAAGTCATTTATTCCCTCCCAACATCTAGTGCAGTCCTAGCCTACTCACTGGTGGGATAGTGTGAGGAGCAGATAAGGCCTTGAGTCTGTGTAAGCACTGTTCAACAGTAATGAAAACATCGCTATATTACATTCAGAGTGATGGTGTTTGTCTTCCCAAGGAACCGTTATGTGTGATGGAGTCCTGCTTTCTTCAGGATAGCTGAACACATGCCTGCCAATGGCAAGTAGTGAATTCCTTGGTTTGCTTTGTTTGCATGCATGGCTTTTGCTTTACTTATTAAAGTCATTTATTCCCTCCCAACATCTAGTGCAGTCCTAGCCTACTCACTGGTGGGATAGTGTGAGGAGAAGATAAGGACTTGAGTCTGTGTAAACACGGTTCAACAGTAATGAAAACATCGCTATATTATGGTCTAGTGGGAGGTGTCTCTGTCCATGGCAGGGGGTTGGAACTTGAAGATCTTTAAGGTCCCTTCCACCTCTAACCATTCTATGATTCTATGATTATCAACACTGATTTAAGCACAAATCCAAATCAAAGACCCCATACTTGCTACCTGTGAAGAAAATTAACTCTATCCCTGTCAAAAACAGCACAGAGAAGAAAAATCCTGAAAAACAACATTGATGAAACCTGGCTCACTGAAATGCCACAAGAAAAAGAAAATTTCACTGTTTCAGAAGTGCATTAGGGTTTGATGACATCTGTTACTCCACAGCCATGTACACAGATATCCAACTACCCTGTAGCTGCTTCTCTGAAAAGATTGTGCCCAAACTACCTAGTGCACCTGGGTGACTCCAGCTTCCAACCCTGAATAGCCTGTCCTCTGGGCAACAAGGATGTCTGGTTGCCCATGAAAAGAATGGGACCCTGTCTTTGGATGTAGGCCTACAGATGTCATCTGGAGCAGCACCCCTTCCAGGTCTGGAGCTTTGGCATTCACTTCATGTTCCAAGTAAACTCAGCAATGTCTAAAATAAAGACCCACGATGGCTATCTCTTCTTCCAAGGGTTCTTCACTGGTCCAAAACCACCTTCCTACCTGCATCCTCTTGGATGGGTGTCAGGAAGGTAGGCTGAAGTGTCTTCATGGGTGCAGTTTGGCTGCAGGAATGAGATGGCTCCCTGTCCAACAGCCACTTTTGCTTCTGGTGGAGCGATGCTTCCTGTGGGGGGCATATAGGAACCTTCCCCACATTCCACCCTTCCTCTGTCTGCCTCCAATGCCCCTGTGGAGTGTGTGGTGCTGGGCAGCTCCCCCTCTGCCCATCCTGTGCCGCATTGCTGCAGTTCATTCCCCATGATGCCCCTGCTACACACAAGTCCTTTCCCAGGCAGCATCCCCCAGATCAGAGCCCCCAGGAGAGTCAACAACCCACAGCATTGTCTCTATTAGTGTCCCTCTGCTCCCCCAAGCCTAGCTCCCCAGTCTGGACCCAAAAAGCACCTTCTGAGTGGGTTCCCCATTGCTCCTGCTTTCTTCATGGCTCCACTGACCTCCCAGAGCAGCCCTGAAATCTGACGCACCCCTACACCCACTACCTCCCACCCACCCCAACATGCAGGGCTGGCAGCATCTCCAGTGCCCCTGCCTCATTCCAGCAGGCAGGGCTGGCAGCACTCCTAGTTCCCAACTGTATATCCTGGAGTGCACATTTGGCATTCCTTTCCTGGAATCTGGCCAAGCACTGCGGCTGTGATTGCAGCTCCCATCCATCCCTGCCGTTTTCTGAAACGACTGGCCCTCCTCCTCCTTTTTCTCCTTCTCTTCCTCCTCATCCTCCTCGAGTATCTGTGAACATCCTTTCATGCTGCAGCTGGTCCTGGGCCTCCTATCCCTCTGTCTGCTCATTTCTCGTGTTGCAGGCTGCTATTCCACGGTGAGTGCATTTGTCTGTGCATCCATAATTCCTTCCCTCCGTATGGAAGCATTGCAAACCTGTCCTGCATGCGTGTGTGCATTTGTCTGTCTGTGCTCACTATACCCTGGCAAAGACTTGGAGGCTTCTGTGTGTCCATCTGTGTTTGCTACCCCATCCTGCCAGGCCACTTAGTTCAAATGGTACCCACACAATTTGGGATCTTTAAGGTCGAGGCTACAGCCCAAATTCACAATGAGGCACATGCTCTGATCATGATATCTGTAAATTCAGCTTCTTATCCTGACAGAAAATAATGTTTTATAATCATAACACAGATGTGCAAGCATTCTGTTATTGGGATCAGTAAAAGCAGTTGCCAGTAAACCAGGGTTTCTATTATGAACAAAGAATCATATCTTTAGTCTTTTACCGATTTAGCAACTCCCAGTTTCATCAAATAGGGGCTATTTGCCAGGAAGTCCTCTGACAAAAGGGTCCTCCAGAATTTGGAGGGTTATCCAAGTATAGTTTAAAGGATGGATTATTAAAGAGAGAAGCCTGAGTGCTTCATTTTTCCATATGAGAAATGTGTGGCGAATTATACTTGTCCTTATGTTTGGTGGTGAGTGAAGTCCAAATCTCTAGTGTTGGGTTTGGAACTGTTGGCTTTCCTTCCTTCCTTTCTTTTTTTTCCTTCCTTCTTTTTTTTCTTTTTCTTTGACTTTTCTCACTCTCTGCTTTTGCTCTGCACAGATCCCAGACTTCCACAAAAATTTACCTTGATTCCTGTGGAGCCCTTTGACATTTATATGTGTAAAGAAAAAGGGGCCATTAACTCAGAAGGTCTGTCTGGGACAGCACTGGCATAGAGTAAAAGACTGCTCTTATTGCTGGTCTGAGTCAGGGGAGTAGGAGATGCTATTTTTGCCTGGGAACAAAAGGGAGACTCCTGAGAACCATTCCTTTGGAAATCCCACTCTGAGCAGGACCATCAAGGGCTCCTCCCAGCTCTCTTGTGTGTTGCGCTCTCATGCCTGGGAGGAAGCTGCATAACCATGCATTGCATCCTCCTGGCTGCAAGGTTAGAAAGACAGTTCTTCCGTCCTATACCCCAATTTTGTTAACAGCCATCATTTCAATCCTGGGGTAATGGGGTGGCTTTCCATGACTTCGGGTTTCATCTGCCCAAGTAACTGCAGAGCTGGAACCCGCCACGTACTCTGCTGGCTCTGTGGTGCGACAAGCAGAACATAAGAGCTCATGCCCCACCTCTCCCCCCAGCCCCTTGCCCCCAGTCCACCCTGCAAACCGTACTGGAACAAGCCCTTCCCTAGGCTTGTTCATAGGGAGTGGGGTGCAATTAAGGATGGCTGTATCTGTTTTGAAATACCCGCATTTATATATAATAATATTGAACTGAATCCTACTCTTGTGATTCAAGGAAGAAGCTCTTTCTCTTATTTAAACTTAGGGGTGAGATTTAGTTATTAAAACATGAGTGTCTAGTATCATTTTAGATGTCCTGTCACTTCCAAGATAGACATGTGATGCCAATATATATAGCACAGGAGCTATAGAAGACAGCTAGATTAGAATTCCTCAATGTTGCGAGAAACACTCGCCTCTTCTAGGGCTTCTTGTTGCAAATGGCCTTCCTGTCCAATGTTTTGACAGTGGAGTTAAGGCTCTATTCAGCATTGGAAGAATTCAGACCACTGACATGTACACAGACTTGTGATTTTACATACCTCTCTTTAGGTGCCTAATTGACAGATCAGTCACAAACCAGGCACTTTTTAATCATCCTCTCCCTCACATTTCACACAAATGCATTTGCTCATCAATTCCTCCAACATCCTCCTGTCCCCAACTTCCCTGAATGTGCATCTGTGCGTCTTGATTATAAATCCATTTGTCCATTCCCCTCCTCGATTCCACCGTTTTCTGCCATTCACTCCTACTGCCACTAATTCCAGCCCTCTCCAACTGTCCAATATGCCAGTCTCCTCATACAAATTCCTGCATTCCTCCACTCATCGCTGTTCTGTCTTTCTGCTTCTCTGCCAATTTCTTCCTCTACCAACATTGGTACTGATGTCTTTCAGGTGCTATGATCACTCAGGACCAAACTTATTCAGTGCCGTGTGCTGGGCTTTGACTCATGATTGCTCCCACCTTCCCTGTGCTCTAGTCTGAATTAAGCACCACACCCCTACTGAACCAAGGCATTTTTGACACCTGCAATTCCCATCCCAGGCCTGTCTCTTACTAATTTGCTACCTGGCTGCTGAGAAATGGGCAAAAAGATTCTTGAGGTGGGATGTGAGGAGAGTGGACTTGACCCATATACGTGGAGGTAGCTCCATATCTTAGAGTAAGGCAAGATGGAAGTGGCCCTTTTATTTTCCACAAGGTCCTCATAGCTCACTTTATGCTCTTTCCCATACAGAAGCTGTATTCAACCGAAGAGTTAAGATGAGAAAAAGTGGTATCCTGAACAAAGGGTATATGTGTAGAGGTGAGTTGGAGCCATAAAGGTGGCATCTGTGAGCAGTGGGGAAGATATTAGCTGGGAGAGCAATCTGGGAAGGAATTGATTTCTTGGGTTGTTGACAGGAAGGCACATCTCACCATGTTCTGGGAACTCAGGGGCATGGCCTACAGGCAGCCTTCACTTTTTTGGTTGGCATAGTAAAAGATGGTTTTGTCAGTGTGATTCATCTCATCCATAGTGCTGCAAGCTTTCCAGGGAAACCATCACAAAGTAGGAGGATGATGCAGAAGAGAAGTCTGCTACTGTGGGATGGGGGGTGCAACACTCCTCTGTGCTATGACATTGCATCACCTCTACTGTGGTGTGAAATCATCCCCTGCTGAATTGTGTTGTGATACCTAGGTACATTGCTTGATTGGTGAATTGCATCATCCCCTCCAGGTGAACTATACTATCTTCTGTATACCATCCACTTCCACGACATTACAACAACCCCTATGAAAGTCTTATACCTTCTTTTGCTAAGTGTCACACTATTCCTACTACGGTGTTATGCTATTCTTGACTAAGACACTACTCCAACACATTTTACCATCAGGCTTGACACACTGCTGATGCCAAACCTTGCCATAACACGAGATGCTCTTCATCTCAAGCCAAGGGCAAAGGTATGGAGAAGGTTGCTGTTGTGATTTGAGAAAACCCATAACAATTAATTGTTGTTTAGACAATTATTCTATCACCTGATGACCCCTCCCATCCAGAAAGGAGAATTGGGGAAAGCAAGGAAACATGAGGGTTGAAATATAAGTAGATTTAATAGGATAAGACTAAATAATTAACAATAATACTAACAAACCAGCATTAATCCCAATACTAGTATAAAATATATAAGAATTATACTCAGCCAATTCTATCAGTAGGAAGCTGTACACCCCCAGTAGTGAACAGCAAATGTTGGACACTGTGAACGCTATGGCTTCAGGAGAAAAGGAACTCCTCAGGGCTCTGGCACTGGAGCAAGGAGTTATCTGGACCTGCCACCATCAGGGGAGAGAAAAAGACGCAGCAAACTTTTCAAATTCATATTGAATGCAACATTCATGGTATCAAAGAATCCTGTTTGTCAGCCTGGATCAAATGCCCAGACCTTGCTCCTCCTCATCCCTACACCTGGCAAGGCTTGAAACCAGCCAATTCTATCAGTAGGAAGCTGTACACCCCCAGTAGTGAACAGCAAATGTTGGACACTGTGAACGCTATGGCTTCAGGAGAAAAGGAACTCCTCAGGGCTCTGGCACTGGAGCAAGGAGTTATCTGGACCTGCCACCATCAGGGGAGAGAAAAAGACGCAGCAAACTTTTCAAATTCATATTGAATGCAACATTCATGGTATCAAAGAATCCTGTTTGTCAGCCTGGATCAAATGCCCAGACCTTGCTCCTCCTCATCCCTACACCTGGCAAGGCTTGAAACCACTGAGATCTTGAATCCCACAGAGCCTGGATGGCTATAAAGTAAGTGTTTTCATGAATTCAGACACTAGAATCTTTCAAAAGTGGAGTTTTCCACCGCATTAGGAAAAAAGTTAGACCTCTGTTGCTCAACCCAGGACAGTTGTCTTTTCATGGGACACTGTCATAGCAGGAAGAGAGATCATTGAATTTGGATTCACCTCAACCATATACTACAGGTATGACACATGAGAAAGGGAGGCTAGCAAGAAACTTCTCCACTGCTGCCAATGAAAGGAGATGAGGCAACCTCCTGTGACTATACCTTTGACGCCGTGCTGAGTGCCCTTGGTATGGTCCCCGCTTCTGGTCCCCCCTTCCTTTCCAGTAGTCCAAAATGAGTAATATATCTACTTACTTAAGTTGAAAACCAAGCTCGTCTCCTTGAAATGTTAGGCTCAAAGCACCTGTTCCAATCTCTGAGATATCGTCTGCAGGTTTGAGGAGCTGCAGGGCACCTCCTGCCATTTGAATGAAGTTCTACTGTGGGACTGTCTCGTGCTACATACTGGAGGACAGACAGGAACCACAGTTCAGTGGTATGGAAAGCCTGAACTAAGACGAAACAGCACATTTAGGTGATCTGAGAGCATAGCTGTCATGTGTTGGACAAAAAGGGGCTTAGAAAGATGGGGAACGTGTTAACAGCCTCTGGGACTTTTTCAGCTTCTGCAACTGGCAATTCTGTGGCAGGTTTGGACACAAAACTGTTTCCCACTACAAGCAGACACCTCAAATGTAAAGTTTCCTACATGCAACCAGGGAGTCTGACAGCTGTTGTGTCTTCCTCAGGCTTATTCCAGAGGGAAATATGGTTCTTTTCTTCCTATCCTGAAGTGGAGCTGGAAAGTGTGAAAGTGAATGTAACCATCCAGGACTTTGTGGCTGATGTGGTGTCTGAGCTGTTTTTCCGCAACACACAGCAAGTCTCTAAGGAGATCATGTTCATATTTCCTGTGGACTCTGATACTGTTGTACACACCTTCTATGCTACCATGGGGGACACTCACATTGAAGCAATGCTCTGGGAGAAGGAGGAGGTACTGGGATTGTGGTGGGAATGGGTCTGCAGATTGGGATGAAGGGTGGAAGTGAGAGAATGGAATCCTGTGGACCTCAGTGACATATTTTTCTCCCCTCTGTGGCAGGCCCAGCAGCTGTTCAAAGCCACTTCAGGCATGGAGAATTTAAGATACCTGCAGAACCAGTGGGATCTTTGGGGTCCTGTGTTCACTTGTTTCCTGGGGACCCTGCCTCCTGATGGGGAGGTCGCCATCAGCCTGTGCTATGTCCAGGAACTGCCAATGCAGCCTGATGGAGCTGCCCAGTTTTGCTGGCCACGCGACCTGTTCCCCCGGACAAACTGCATTAGTGAGTGATCCCCTAGGTGCATTCCCCAAGAAGGAAGACCTCACTCCTCAGCATCTGTCCTGGGGGGAACGTCCATATGTGCACACATGCCTCAGTGAGAAAATCTGAATATTTCTCCTTGCACTTCACAGTCAGGAACCTCATGGGTCTCCCCATAAATCCCACAGCAAGACATTCCCACAGATCCCTGTACAAACCACGGTGTGAGTCTACAGATTCACCACCACCACTACCCCCCCCTAAGCATCACAGTGAAGATGCCACATTTCCCCCCTATCAGTGACAGACAGTGCCCCACCATAGATGTCTACTGCCCTAGGATCTCTTCTTTTGTCTTCTCACACCTCTTTCTCACTGCAGGATGGCTTTTTTCTGAGGAGGAGATGTTCAAAAACCTGAACTTCAGCATCTGCCTGAAGTCAGCCCATGGTGTGTCCCATATAGCCATTAACAGCAGCCACACTCCTCTGCAATACATGACTCCAGATCAAACATCTGCTGAGGTATGGCCCTGCCAGATGCTAGAGTCCCAAAAGGGAAGAAGATGGAAAGGTCTGCAGCCTGCTGATGCTCCTTAGGACTCCTCAGTCCTTTTATTTGGTTCTCCTTCCTCCCCACACGCTACTTGTCCTCAGGTATCCTTGAAATTGCCACCCTGGATGGAGGATGATTTGAACTTGCTGGTGTATTACAGGGGGTCTCACACACTCAGTGCTGTGGTGGAGAGGAGAGATCCCAAAGCCCCACCTGGTGAGTGAAAAGGGTGGCAGTGGGCATTAGGAAGAGGGTGTCAGGAAGACTGGGGGGGATCTGAGGGGCTTTTAAGGCACTATGTCAGAGCTGGGTCTATGTGGAGGACAAAAGCAAAGAGACAGAGAAGGGAACTCCAACCTAAAAATCCTCCTTGTTTCCCCCCACACACTCCAGGCTCTCTGCTGGGAGACCCTGTGGTGATGGTGACACTGATGCCCAGCATTCCTGAGGTCGAGCCCAACCTAGACCATCTTGGGGAATTTATCTTTCTCATGGACTGCAGTCTCTTCCATGATGCACAGGTACCACCAGAGGAGGTCTTCTGGGGAGGGATTTCCACACTGGTCATAGCCACTTGGGGGTTAGAGTCAAGCTGCTTCACATAGCTAGATATTCTGCCTGGCTTCCCCATCTGAACTATGCCCATCCCTCCATCTCCAGAACACCCTGCTCTTCCTCCTCAAGAGTTTGCCTCTGGGCTGTTACTTCAACATCTACATTTTTGGGGCCACTTTCCATGCCTTCTATCTGTGAGTTGGGGGTGATGATGGGGCAGGGCCAATGGGTAAGTAGAGTATGACTTTTCTAAGTGAATCTGTAGAACAAGCTCTTACTAGAGGGCAGTTATGGGGCAGGATATGTTGGGAGCAGTGAGAGGGTAAGTCCTCTTTTCAGGGTGCTTCTGTAGCACTGGTAGCGAGGTAAGGCTTTTCTAGGGAGTGGCCAAGTGAGAGTAGCCGTGGGCCAGGTTCTCTCCTGTCTGACACTCTGGGTGGCCTCCCACAGGCAGAGTGTGGAATACACACAGGAAAGCATGATCAATGCAGTGGGGCGCATCTCCTCCATCTGTCCTGATCTGGGCGGCTGTGACCTGTTGGGTGTCCTAAGGTCTATCTACAGCACTCCTCTCATTCATGGATATGCCCGCCAGGTATCAGGGACCAAGTGGTTATGGGGAGGGGAATGAGTGTAAACAATGGGGTACAGGTAGACTTCAGGGCTCAGGATGAGACAGTCTGCTGATGTTTGCACTGGGAGTTGGGATGGAGGGTTGTGTCCTTATGGCAGAAAGTGATACCGTCTTTAGGGTGGGCAGCATGGGATGGATTCTGTGGAATTTGTCTGCTCTTGGGGAAGGTGGATCTTCCTTGTAGGGTGCCCCTTTGTGCTAAGAGGTGGTCTGGTGTTAATGAAAGGGGACATACAATCCATTTTCTTGTTTCAAGGCCAGTGGGTGCAAAAGAGTGAGGGAGCAAACTGGGAAGGCTTCTGCATTTTAGAAAGGCATTTTTCCTCTACAGGGGTGCTCAGCCCTGGAAATCTTTGTTTCCCCTCTCTTCCTTAGCTTTTCATCTTCATCCAAAGGAAGATTTCCAGTGAAGAGGAAGCTGTCATGGCTGAGGTCTACCATTACCGGGACCAGCACCGGTAATGGGGGAGCACTGTTCCTGTCCCCTAACATGCTAATTCACAACCTTCCTGTACCCTTCACTGTCAAAAGTCCATTCTCCTGGATCCTAGTCTGCCACAGACCTTCTCTTTACTTTGATGGAACTTCAGCAAGAACACACACACACTTTCCTTACCTCAGAAAGACTGCCTATACTTTTAATCTAGTGAGACTCCTGTCCCAATCTTTCCCTGCTCTTCTCAGCACTTTTCCTCTTCCCCCTCCCCTTGCAGAACCTTAAGTTCTCTTTGGCCCCAAAACTCATTCTCACCATCTCCCTGTCCAGCAGGTAATGCCTCTTGCCCCAGACTGAATGGGAAAACTCTGGGTCAGTTTCATTTCTGTGATTAGAAGCATTCTTACCTCTCCAGACTTTGTCCTTTGTAACACTCCTGTCTTTTGTGCCTCTCACCTTTGTCCCACCTCTAACCTCCCCCTCTTTTCCTGTACAGGTGTTTCTGTTTTCCTACTAATAGATGTGACAGCTTCAACCTTTTCCAGGCCATGGCCCTGGAGACCAAAGGTGAATGTGTGTGCATCCACTCTAGGATGGAGATGACATCTGAGGTAATGACCCAAGTACCCTTCTGTTCTATTCAATACCTCTCATGGCTCTCCTAGACATGCAAGGCAATCCAGATACCACCATCCACTCAGACTCAGAGACCCCCTTCCAACTTCCTCCCTTCCCAGAACTGGGAGGGAACCCAAGTGGTCTGTGCTCTCTGCTTCCCCTTACCAGGCAGTGAAATGCCTACAGCGGGCTTTGCAGCCTCTGGCAAGTGGGATCTCACTACACTGGGAACTTCCACCTGGCCTGGAGGTGTCAATAATCAGAAAAGCTCCTGAGATGATCTTCCAGGGACATCAGAGCTCCATCTATGCCCAGATCCATGGGCAAGCACAGGTGAGAGTGATCCAGGAACCATATGCACTGGGGCAGGGCATTCTGGAAGGTAAAGAACCCGCTCTCTGTTTCACCTTCCCAGCACTCAGGAGTCCTTCACTTCCACTAGACCGGAGAGGGACCATGATCAGGGCTCTGTGAACCCCCTTCTTTCCCTTAGAAACACCACTGCTCTTGCTTCAGCCATGGGCATCTACTACCTTAGTAGAGCAGGGAGAGAACCTAGGTAGCCAGGCTGCCCATGCTTGCAGATGAGCATTTCTGCCTGACTCTTTTTCCCTTGTGTCACCAGGATCCAGAGGTGGGTGAGGGGGCTGTGACCCTTCAGTACCATGTGGGCAGCCAGTCCTTTGATTACACACTCAGATTCTCACTGTCGCCATCAGCAGACAACAGGTGAGAGGGTAACACGCTTGCCCATGAGGCAGAGTGGCATTGGCAAGGTCTGGAAGAGGGACAGCAAGTGTCCTTCCTTGCATCCTTCCTGCTGTAGCCTGAGGTGGGAAGAGAATCTGGGCATCCAGTGCTTCCTCTGCCCTGACCTTGGGAGAGAACCTGTGTGACCATTGCCTCACTGCCCCCTCCTCTGTACTCACATGTCCTATGCCCCTCTCCAAGGTGAAACCAAGAAGTAACTCCTTGCCCTTGCAGGATGCCTGTGCACCGGATGGCCATGATGTACTTGCTACGGAAACTGGCCTGGGAGGGGACAAGCAGGACAGAGAAAGACATCTGGCACAGTGCAGTTAAGTCCAGCCTCAGCATGGGGGTCCCGTCCCCCTTCACATCCAGTGTGGCAGTGCGCATGAAACAGAGGGATGTCTGTCATCGTGGTAAGGCCAGAAACACTGGGGACAGGACTGGGAGGGGAAAGCGGGACTTGTTGGTTTGATGCCTCTTCACCATCTGCAGCCTTCTATCCTGTGGACCTGACCACCCTTTTGCCTTTGTGTAGTACCCCTGGATCTAACCCCCACGTCCCTGCTTCTCTTCCCAGATTCTTTGCCTCCAGACTCCTCAATGTTTTTCTCTCCCTCTTGCAACCTGGTTCCCTGCCAGCTGCTCTGGTTGCGGGGCTTCAAGCCTGTGTGGTTCAAGTCCACCAAGTTTTGGATGGTCCAGAAGTGCCAGTTCTTCCTTGAGACACTTGGTTGCAAAGCCTCTGACACCGAAGCACTCACTCATCTTTCAGCATCCTGTAAAGGTAAGGAGAAACTTCTCAGATGGGAATTCTCAAAACATATTGAATTAGGGTTAAGTTCCCCTTTCAGCATTTACCTTCTGACCAGACTTCTTGATTGTCATAGTGCTGGGGGTGGATGGAGTGATAGACTAAGCAAACTCCTACATCTCAACTCTGGGCTGGAAACTAAGAATTAAATGCCTCAATACTTCTCCAAAGTAACCTTATCCTTGTCTTCAAGTATCCTTAACTCTATATATGAACACTAAGTTTGTCTACAAAATATCTGCATGAATCTCTAGCTTTATCCTCATATAATTCAGCAAAAAAGAGCCAGATAGCACAGTGTTCACACAGTGGTTTCCAGGCTTCCTTTTCTTCCAGACTTCTGCTTGTCCAGCACTTATCTTCTGATCTCCAAGAATGAGCTCCTGAGGACTTCTTGTGATTTCTGTTGACAAGGAGTGTTAGCTTCTGTACACTTCTGCTTCTATCATCTCTAATGATCACCTTCTGTTGGCTGTTTCCTAATTAGGGAGAGTCTCTGCTTATTGTTTTCAAGAAACTTCTAATGGTGGGAGAAGGTGTCGAGCACTTTTTCAGCTGGTTTTGCTGTGTATAAGATAGGAAAGAACACAGAGCTAGTTAACAGAGATATAGCAGTTGTCTCAGCAGTTAGTGCAGCATGCAGATGCAGAGAGATCCAACAACTATTCAGTCCTGTGTGGGGCTGAGAGAAGGTTGTGCAGCATGCCACACAATGCCTTCTCTAACTGGTGCATTTACCCTTGGTACATTGGAAGCCTCAGTCCAGGTCAAGGGTCAAGGGCAGCCTTAGCTGCAGCAATCATAAGACTAGTTACAATTCTGAGAGAAAAGAGCAAAAGCAAGATGAACGGCAGAATTAGAAATCCTGGACTTCAGAAGAAAAGATTTTGCCTTGTTCAGGTTCCTGTGTGAAACTGTTGTGGAAGGAAAGGTCAACATAATGTTGACCTTCCAGGACCCAATGCTCCAAGATCAAGAATGGTCCAGTCCAGTGGCAGAAATTCAAGGAAGAGTGCCAGAAGGCCAGGATGGATGAACATAGAGTTCCTTAGTCAGATCAAAGACAAAAAGGAAGTATGTAAAGGTGGAAGTTGAGACAGGATACTTGAGAGCATACAAAGACATTGCCCAGACATGTAGAAATGAATTTAAGAAAGCCAAAGCTCAGTTGGAGTTGAAATTTGCAAGTTAAGTGAAGAACAACAGGAACAGCATCAATAAGCACATTGATAGCAAAAGAAAGCCTAAGGCAAGTGCGGGCACCTTCCTCAGTGATGCAGGAGACTCAGTGATGCAGGGGACTCAGTGATGCAGGGCACTCAGTGATGGAGAGGACTCATTGACAAAGGATGTGGAAAAGACTGTCATAGTCTTAAACTTTTTGGGCTCAGTTTTATTTGCTAAGGTTTTCTTTCAGATCTACTGTATCTCTGAGTCTCCCCACAGTCTGTAAGAGTGAAGCAGTACCCACAGTAGAATCAGAACGGTTTAGGTTGGAAGGGACCTTAAACGTCACTGAGTTCTAACCCCTTGCCATGGGCAGGGACACCTCCCACTAGACCAGGTTGCTCAAAGCCCCATCCAGCCTGGCCTTGAACGCTTCCAGGAATGGGGCATCCACAACTTCCCTGGGCAACCTGGGCGAGTGCTTCACCATCCTCACAGTGAAAAATTTCTTTCTGAGATCTAATCTAAGTCTACCCTCTTCCAGTTTGAAGTCATTACCCCTTGTCCTGTCACTACATGCCCTTGTAAAATGTCCCTCTCCAGCTTTCTCGTAGGCCCCCTTCAGATATTGGAAGACGGATATATAGTCTCCCTTGAGCCTTCTCTTCTCCAGGCTGAACAACCCCAACTCTCTCAGCCTGTGCTCATAGGTGAGGTGCTCTAACCCTTGAGCTGCCAGAGCTTTCAGTGCCCTTCCTGCATGCCCTTCCATGCAAACTGCCACACAAAGTGCCATGCTACGGCCTGTTTGCTCACTCTTTTTGCAGTGCTCCTGGTCACTTATGCTTCCTTGGGCTGCCATTCGGGGAAGTGGGGTGGCTGCCATTGCTGCTGGCACTGCCCCCACCTCACCAGCCCACCTTGTGTCAGGGCGAGGCCCACCTCCTGTGGGTCCCTGTGCAGCCCCAACCTTTCCCTGCCTCAGAAAATCTCAAGAAAAGCTCCATTTTGCCATGTTCCCTGGCTCCACTAGAGACATGCTGGCACCAAAGCTGTTCCTCTAAGTGAGAGTAGAAGATAGTTAGGAATCATGTAGGTTGGTTAGATCTAAACAGGTTCATGGAACTGGGTGCATCCAGGAGTGCCAAGCAGTTGGCTGACACCACTGTAAGTCAGTGACTCTATCTTCAAAAGATCACGGTAATTGGGTGAGGTTCCTACTGACTGCAAAAATAATCAGACATCTCACCCATCTTCAAGAAGGGGAAAAATAATAATTCAGAGACCTACCGGCCAGTCAGCCTCCCCTGAGTCCCTAGGAAGGATTTGAAACAAATTGTCTTAGAAGGTTTTTCAAAAGTAAATCATGCCTGACCAACCTTACTGCTTTCTCTGATGAGGTAACTTGCACTGCGGACAAGAGAAGGGCAATGGATTCTGTATATCTTCACTTTAGCATGGCCTTTGACAGTCTCCTCTCCATTAGGTTGATGAGGTATTGGCTGGGTTAAGTGAACGATAAGGTGGTGGAAAATTGGCTAGACTGCTGGGCTCAAAAAGTTACCAGCAGTTGTGTCCAGCTGGTGGACAATCACCAGTGCGATTCCGGAGGCACCCGTTGTGGTAACAATGCTGTTTAACAGCTTCATTGATGACCTGGACATCTGTCCATTAGGACAGAGTGCACTCCTAGCAAGTTTATGAACAACTACAGATTGGGAGCCGTAACTGCATGGTCAGTACAGTGGAAGGCAGGGGAAGTACAGTGGAAGGCAGTCTGGAGAAATGGCCTGACAAAAACTCTATGACATTCAATAAAAACAAATGCAGTCTTGCATCAGGAATGGAATAACCCTATGCAGCAATACAGGCCCAGGACACACACGCTTGAGGAAGCAGGTCTGCAAAAAAGAATCTTGGGGTCCTAGCAGACAACTAGTTGAACAGAAGTAAGCAGCGTGCTCTTGCACCAAAGCAAGCCAACTGCATCCTGGGCTGTATTAGCAAGAGTGTAGCCACTACATGCAGGCAGGTGGTTCTTCCTCTCTGTTCAGCATCATTTGCTATCCTGCATCCTGGGGTATTATGTCCAGCTTCTGCTTTCATTACAAGAAAGTCATTGACATAGAACGAATCTAGTGGAGGGCTGCATGTGGCATGTGAGGAGAGGATGAGATCTGGGCTTGTTCATCTTTAAGAAGATACCTTATTTCTGTCTTTAGCCATCTGACTGGAGGAAAATATAAAGAAGCCAGAGGCAGACTTTTCTTGGAAGTGCACAGCATTAGGATAAGAGGTGACAGACACAATTTGGAACATGGGAAATTTTGAATGGGTATGAGGGACTTTTATTTTGTTTTTAAATCATAAGGATAATAAAAAACTGGTGGAATCTCCATCCTTAGCACTATTCAAGACTTGACGAGATACGTACCTGAGTGAGCTGTTCTAATGAGATGTGCTTTAAGTAGGGATTTGGACTAGATGACTTCCAGAGGTCCAGGCTCTGTGTACCTTTAGGCCAATGTTAAATGACTCCTAATTCTGCCCCAACTACCCTGTGCCTAAGTGCTTCCCCTTCTGCCCATAAAAGCTCTTAAGTCTGCTCTGGAGTGAGCCATGCCTGGGACTATAATGCCCCACGGGCAGTGCTTGACCCTCCTCACCTTCACTCTCTTGTGATCTAGTGCTGCTGTAGCTCCAAAGAAGTCATGTCCTGGAATTTGGAAAGGAAGAACTCAGGCTGAGGCTGGTAGGTTCAAGAGTGGATGACAGAGAAGGACCCCTGTGGGACCTCAGCAGTGAACATGAGCCACAATGGGGGAATCAGCACAAATCATAGAATTGTCTAGGTTGGAAGGCACTTTTAAGATCATAGAGTCCAACCATCAATATAATGCTGCCAATACCACCACTAAATCATGTTCCTTGGCACCATGTTTTCCTGACTTTTAAATGCATCCAGGGATTCAGCTGCTTCTCTGAGCAGCCTGTTCCAATGCTTGACAGACCTTTTGGTGAAGGATTTTTTTCCTAATAGCTATCCTAAACATCCCTTAGTGCAACTAGAGGCCATTTCCTGTTGTTCTATTGCTTGTTACTTGCAATAAGTAAGCAACCAGTGACAGGACGAGGGGCAATGGGCACGAGCTGGAACATGGGAAGTTCCACTCAAATACGAAGAACTTCTTTATGGTGAGAGTGACAGAGCACTGGAACAGGCTGCCCAGGGAGGCTGTGGAGTCCCCTTCTCTGGAGATCTTCAAGATCTTCCTGGATGCAGTCCTGAGTAATGTGCTCTGGGCAATCCTGCTTTAGCAGGGGAGTTGGACTAGATGATCTCTAGAAGGTCTCTTCCAAGTTCAACAATTCTGTGATACCATGACCTCCACCTCACTACCACCTCCTTTCATCCCTTCTTGGGATTTCTTCCTTGGGCCGTCCCAAGCACATATACAATGGATTGAGAGCAGCCCTGAGGAGACAGACTTGGGAGTTTTGGTGGATAAGAAGCTTAAGATGACCTGGCAATGTGTGCTGGCAGCTCAGAAAGCCAACCATATCCTGTACTGCACCAAAAGAAGTGTAGCCAGCAGGGCGAGGGAGGTGATTCTGCCCCTCTATTCTGCTCTGATGAGACCCCACCTGGATTACTGTGTTCAAGTCTGGAGCCCCCAACATAAGAAGGACATGGACCTGTTGGAGTCAATCCAGAGGAGGGCCACAAAGATGATCAGAGGGTTAGAGCACCTCTCGTATAAGCACAGGCTGAGAGAGTTGGGGTTGTTCAGCCTGGAGAAGAGAAGGCTCAAGGGAGACTATATATCTGCCTTCCAGTATCTGAAGGGGGCCTACAAGAAAGCTGGAGAGGGACATTTTACAAGGGCATGTAGTGACAGGACAAGGGGTAATGGCTTCAAACCGGAAGAGGGTAGACTTAGATTAGATCTCAGGAAGAAATTTTTCACTGTGAGGATGATGAGGCACTGGCCCAGGTTGCCCAGGGAAGTTGTGGATGCCCCATTCCTGGAAGCGTTCAAGGCCAGGCTGGATGGGGCTTTGAGCAACCTGGTCTAGTGGGAGGTGTCCCTGCCCATGGCAGGGGGCTTGGAACTCAGTGATCTTTAAAGTCCCTTCCAACCTAAACCATTCTATGATTCAGGTATTTGTAGAGAGCGGTAAGATCACCCCTCAGCCTCCTTTTCTTCAGGCTGAACAACTCTAATTCCTTCATCTGCTCCTCATAAGACTTCTTCTACAGACCCCTCATCAGCTTCTTTGCCATTCTCTGGACACCCTACAGATTGTCAATGTCCTTCTTGTAGTGAGGGGCCCAAAACCGGACACAGTATTTGAGGTGGGGCCTCACCAGTGCCCAGTACAGGGGGCTGATCACTACCCCAGTCCTGCTGGCCACACTGTTGCTGATACAGGCCAGGGTGCTGTTGGTCTTCTTGGCCACCTGGGCACACATGCTGCTCATATTCAGCCAGCTGTTGACCAATCCCCCCAAGTTTTTTTCCTTCCCCAAGCCTGTAGTGCTGCATGGGGGAAGGAGAAACATTAGTGATGCTCATGGAAGGAATTGTCTGTTCAGAGAGAATTATCCTGAGTGAACTAGAGCTCATAAGGCAGATTTTAGGATGCTTATGAAGGACTGGAAAAATCTGAGGAGGCCCTGGGAGGTCTGAAAAATGTACAGGATACTTGTGGAGGACTGGGAAAAATTGGGAAAGCACAGGGAGGATTGAGTATACCTGGCGAAGGCAGAATTTAAGGTTATAAGCTGTTACCTGTCTCATGTGAGCTGTGTGAATGTTTCTGTCTTCCAGACCAGAAGCTTCCTCCTGAAGAGCAGGCAATGGAAGAAAAAACAGCATTTAATATGAGTTGGGACTGGACAATTTCACCACTGTCAACAAGACTGTGTGACTTCTCTGGCCTCAGGGTAGTGGTGGCACTCCAGAAAGCAAATGGCTCCTGGGCCCTCAGTGCAGCTCTGGCCTCCGCCCTGGGGCTCAGCAAGGCTGATGTTGAGGTACAAAGACCCAGTGAGGTAAGCAGATCAGGGTCAGGAGTGGCCCCTGTCATGAGCTGAATCTTCTTCTGCTCCAAGTTTCCGGACTGAGCTGAACTGAGAGGAAGAGATCAAAGCCATTGGGATATAGAGCCTCTTTGCTTGTGGAGGTCGTGGGGTGGAATTAGCAGGGATACCTCGGATCTTTCCAATTTTGATGATTTCAGAAGCTTAGGGAGTTTATGTGTATGTGTGAGGTTCTTACATTTTCAACATCTGGTTTAGGTTTGATCTTTTCTTTTTTCTTTCTTCAACCTGATTGTTCTGGTTTCTCCCACAGCATGTGCAGCCAACTGCCTGGGCCACAGTTTTGACTTTAGTCTGGTTGCACCAGTATAAATGGAAGGTATCTTGGTTAGAGCTTCTGGAGGCCAAAACTTGTAGGTGGCTGCGGGACCAAGCTGGTAAGAAGATTCTGCTGGAAGGAGTCATGCTCTGTGTCTTTTCCACAAGATCTGCAGCTGATACCTGTTGACCCATGTCCCTCTTTCCCAGTTCTCCTGCATGGCAGTCTGTCATTACACACTATCTCTCCTTACTGAGTTGTTGTCCCCTTCTTCTTTTTCTCTCTTCTTGCAGAGGCCCAGCTGGATGAATGTCTGGAGGCAGCGAATTCCCTCTTAGGCTGCTTTGTGGAGCCCACTGTCTTCAGGATTTGAACCTACCATGCTCCTGGGTGTGGGCAAGAAGCTGTTTGGCAACACAGCCAGGACAGCTGACTCAATCTAGCCAAAGGGATATTCCATAGCATTAACATCATGCCCTTGTGGGAGTGACTGAGTGGCTGGGTTGGATGCTTAGATGCTATCTGGGGCCAACCCACTGCAGCTGACTTCTTCACACATATGGTCTCCATCATAATATGAGAGTTTCCACTGAACTCTGAAAAATAACTCTAAATATATATATTAAACTTTGCTTCATTTTTCCACATACTGCTTTTCTCTGAGGTTTACCCAAACAGTCATCTGCTCAAAATACTAGGTCTTGGGGAGAAAAATCATGTTCAGATACTACAGAAAAACACCTTCTTCATGGTAGGGGCATGGAGTAGAGAAGGAGGCAGGCGCAAAGAGGTGAAACTGAGCCTGGGAATAAGGGACCATGGGGAAGAGTGGTTAAGTTTTTGACTTTGTTTCTCACCATCCTACTCTATTTTTAATTGCCAATAAATTATATTAATCTTCCCTAAGTCAAGTCTGGTTTGTCTGTGATTGTAATTGGCAAGCAATCTGTCTGTCTTTTCTTCACCCACAACATATTTAATCTTATATTTCTCCCCTTGTCCTGTTGAGGAAGATGGATGAGAGAATAGCTATGTGGGCGGCTAAAAGTGAGAAAATTCTGGCAGCTACCCAAGGTCTAACCCTCAGAAAAAAATCATCATATTTTAACATGGTTACTTTTTGACATCTACACTTTTTATGCTGATTTTTCAGGCAGTGTGAATCTTACACTTAAGATTAGTTCAAATTTACCCCATATGCAAGGATGGTTACAGCATCCCAGAAAACCCTCAAAATATTAACACAAAGTTGATTTTTTACCCTAGAACCTCTTAATGGCTGGACTTCTTTACTTAAGCTGTATATAAGGGGATTGGGATCACAATTTTATAACACATGGAGAACACTTTATTCAGATTTAGGGAATTATTGGCAGGTGGTAATAAATACATGATAGCAAGGATCCCATGAAAAGTAGTGGTCACAGTGAGGGGATATGAACTAGTACAAATGGCTTTCTGCAGCCCCATTGGGGCCACTAAAAGTCAAATTCAGTATCAATACAATGATCGCCAAGGTGACTGCAAAGCCAGTAATTCAGAAAAGAGCTTCCAGCCCTGGAAAAATATTCTGGTTCATTAGAGCTGCATAACAAAGAGGATTATAGATAGCTAAATAACAATCACACAGCATCATGGCTAGTAGAAGATATCCGGTTCCTCCCAAGGAGGCAAATTGTGCAGTACAGTCCCTGAAAGAGACACTCTCTCTGTAAGGAAAGTGGTTAGCATCCTAGGAACAATATTGGTTGTATAGGAGGTCTTAAGGAAGGAAAGACTACCCAGAAAAAAATAAATGGGGTTGTGGAGACTTCAGTCCACACATATAGTAAGAAGGAGAAGAGTGTTCCCAGAAATGACTACAAGATAAAAGAGCAAGAGCAATACAAGTGCTGTTATCACTTAAAATCCCAGTGGACTGAACTCTGTTACAGAAGTTCTTTCCCTCAGGTCAGCATGCAGAAGGGATATAGAAGATAGAGACAATGCCACACAAATGAAAACTGTAGGAACATATGAAGAACTGCTACAATGACTTCACTCCAACCTTGGCAAGAGTCTGACATTAGGCAAACTAGATTTATCTTCTTCACTAAGACAGCATCACTGTGTTGTGGTTTAACCCCAGCCAGCAGCTAAGCACTACACAGCTGCTAACTCACTTCCCCCCACAGTAGGATGGGGGAGACAATCAGAAGAGTAAAATTGAGAAAATTCATGAGTTGAAATAAAGACAATTTAATAGATAAAGCAAAACACACAAAAGGAATTCAATCACTATTTCCCATTGGCAGGCAGGTGTTCAGCCATCTTGAGGAAAGCAGTGCTCCATCACACATAATGGTTCATTGGGAAGACAAACGCCAAACGTTGCCTCTTTCCTTCTTCTGATGTCAGCTTTATATGCTGAGCATGACATCATATGGTACGGAACAGCCCTTTGGTCTGTTGGGGTCAGCTGTCCAGGGTGTCCCCCCCCACTAAAATTCCACCCCCAGCCTACTTACTGGTGGGGTCCTGTAAGAGGCACAAAAGGACACTGTAACAAACACTGTGTAAGTTCTGCTCAGCAATAACTAAAACATCCCTGCGTTATCAACACTGTTTTTAACAAAACACAGCCACATACAAGCTACTGTGAAGAAAATTAACTCTATCCCAGCCAAAACCAGCACACACTGGATATGAATTTTCCTCCTTTGTGGACAGGTTTTTATTATTCAAGTCAGAATGGATCTTTGAATGGTAGTGCTTGGACTTTTCTATGGACAAACTACAACAGAGTAAATTTCCCCTATGCAGTCGTATTTAGTCATTTAAGTAACTTTCCAAAAATGTAACAGAATCACATAATAATTAGGTCAGAAGGGAACTCCTGAGTGTATCTAGTTCAATTTCCACAGTGTCAGGTATAACAGGTTCCAAGGTGCTCTTCAGTCAGATTTTTAATATCTCCAAAGATGTAATTTCCACATCAGCTTTGGGCAACCTGTTCCACTGTTTGACCACCCCTAGAGTAAAAATGTTTTTTTGTTGTGTTCAGCAAGTCACTCTAAGAAGGGCAACTCTCTTTTTTTTTTTTTTTGGTTAAGACTACCACAAGTCTTAGTGGTTTATATTTTTTTTTATGTTAAGACTACCACTAAACTCAATTTCATTTGCCCTTTCTCCCTCCTTTTGATACTAACAGCAAATTAACAAGGGCTTGCCTCAGGATGGACATCAATATTTGATTTTCCATCTCTACAGTTTTTTGAGATTTGGAAATTTGGCTTAAAGGAGTTCAAATGCAATAATTCTGACTGTAGATACTGTTGTTTTGATTTGAAACCATGTAGAGTTATCAGCATTGTTGAAAATCTTCCATTTTTTCCCCCTACTCTATTCAGTCTCAGTATAAATGATTTGAGAATGTTTAGATAAAGAGAAAATGAAGTACTCTGAAAGTGACACTGGAAGTCAAATCCACAAAACCTCTTTTTTTCCAGCCTGTAGAATTAGCAACATAGAATATACCTAGAGTCATGTCTTAGGTTCTGACAGGTAGAGTTCACAGTAAGAATTTTTTTCCTTAATTTCTTTTTTTTCATTTTCATATAATGAGTGTAACATACCAAAAACACTTGAAGAAAAAAGAAATGCATCCCTACTACTTCATTGGTTAGCTAGGTTTCATTCTTCTTTGTTCAAGAAAGTTAAATTTTACTTCAGCTTATTGTGTGTCTTTTATTTCAAAAGGATGGCATTCCCCACACTAGGAACATTAGAATGGTGTGGTCATATGCATGCTAACATCACCATACGCAATTTCCCTCTGAACAGTAGAAAGCACTGGAATTTGAATGCATTTGAAATGCATTTCATATTTCAAATTCAGTTTGAAAGCTTTGAATTTGGATGTCAGAGCTACCAGAGCCTGATGAAGAGAATATAAATAGAAAATAAGCCTCCACTCCTGGCTAGGGAGGCAATGGTATCAGGGAAGACATGAAGGATACAAGAGGTATCTCATGGCACCAGAAAGTCCCTTGGACTTTGAGGAAAAATAACCAAAAGCTTGTGATTGCCAATCCTAGAGCTTACATGGAACTACATGGTGTGTTCTTACATCAAAAAATGTAAGTGTGCAGGGAAGGCAGAGTTGATTTGTGGTAATTGCCTGGCATTTATTTAAGGAATCACCCTGCAGTCCTTTGGCAGCTGGTAATCTTCTTGACATTCAGCAGAGATTTCTTGGGCTTCCTTGTAAAACCCTTTGTTTCTGAAAGGCCCCTGGCTTCTTTTTATTCCAGATCTTGAAAAAAGATGCAGCTCAGAAGAACTCATCAGAGCAGTAGACACCTCTTCAATAAAACTGGAAGTAGTTGAGATACTGAAGAATCTTTCTTGCTTCTCTCCTTCCGTCCTTCTCAATGCACATTTCAGATCTGAGCTCCTGTTTCAGCTGATCAGCAAAAACATCACAAAGGAATCAAGGAGTTCTGTGTTCAAGAATAAAAGCAAAGATATTTGGTGATAATTGAAATTGTTTCTGGTTCATTCTTGCTGACTAGATAATGCTGAAACCAGAATTATAGAGTGCATAATTCAGCCCAATATCATGGAGTCTATCCTCCTTATATTTGAGTATCTTCCTGAACAACAGGTTTCCTTTTCCTGTTTTTCCTTATCCTTTACAGGGTTACTCTGAATGGAAAAAATCTCATAACTGCTCTGGTTGTAATTGATCAGCACCTTTAAGCACTGATGTATGTTTTTCTAGGGAAGCTGTCATCCTTGAAGACGGATTATACCTCCACCATCCTGCCTAGGATGGTGGCCAGCTTCCTCAGAGGGGCAGGAGAATGTCTGCTAGTGGCTGCCTTGCATAAATGTTCTTTTGGTTCATTGGGAGCAACTGAATGTTACCTTCTGGCAGCAGAGTCTTGTGACTGGTATTTGGCAATAGGTAAGCCTTTATATTATACAGACTAGATGAACCACAAGTCCTGCCTTGGCTTGAATGTGTTTCCTGGATAAAAGTTTTATGACTATTGCTATAACAACATCATTGGTGCCTGCACTAAGTCTCCTCTCTTGAACCTCACCTGGAGTAATGCATCCAGCTTTAAGGTCCCCAGTGAAAGAGAGGCATGGACCTGTTAGAGATGATCCAGAAGAAGGCCACAAAAATGATCTCTTCTGTGAAGAAAGGCTGAGGCAGTTGGGACTCTTCAGCCTGAAGAAAAGAATGATCTGGGGAGACCTTGTTGCAGCCATTCAATATATGAAGGGGGCTTATAAAATAGGCGAAGAACGACTTTTTACCAGGGCCTGTAGTGACACAACAAGGGACAACAATTTTTAAGTGAAAGAGGGTAGATTTAGATTGGTTATAGGGAAGAGATTTTTACAATGAGGGTGGTGAGGCACTGGAGCAGGTTGCCCAGATACGTTGTGGACAATCCATCCTTGTAAGTAGTTCAAGACCAGGCTGGATGGGGATTTGAGCAATCTGGTCTAGTGAAAGATGTCCCTGCCCATGGGACAACCTTCTCTGGGCAACCTGTTCCAGTCCCTCACCATCCTCACACTGAAAAATTTCTTCCTGAGATCTAATCTAAATCTTCTCTCTTCCAGTTTGAAGCCATTACCCATCATCCTGTTACTACATGCCCTTGTAAAATGTCCCTCTCCAGCTTTCTTGTAGGCCCCCTTCAGATACTGGAAAGCTGCTATAAGGTCTCCCCAGAGCCTTCTCTTCTCCATGTGAACAAACCCAGTTCTCTCAGCCTGTGCTCATAGGAGAGGTGCTCTAACCCTCTGATCATCTTTGTGGCCCTCCTCTGGATTGACTCCAACAGGTCCATGTCCTTCTTATGCTGGGGGCTCCAGAGCTTATCCAAGCACTTGAACACTGACAGTTTT